ATATATATATATATATATGTCTAGAGCCATTATATGTTCTTTCAAGTTCTGTACAAGATATAGGACCATCTGTTTCTGGTGCCCTTTTTCGCTTTAAAGGTTATTTATTATCTATTATAATGTATACATCACAGAAAGACATGAGGATTGAGTTCTACACTACACAAGTATAGTAGAACCTATTCTAACACTTGCCCTGACAGTTCTATGAGGGGGAAAGGAAAGGGAGCAGGTGCAATAGCTTGCAGAAGCTGGCTTCCTGCGCTCTGGTGCTTATTTCAAATCTGAAAGCGCTACCATATATATTCAAAAACTTGTCAGCTTCTGGCGAGTTTTTTGTGAATAGCAGCCCAAACACTGGATTGCTGGGCTGCTTACTAATGGAGAACTTGTTTGTACATATGTTCAAAATATATAATATGTTTTAAAGTGCTTTACCATACTGGGATGATGCTTTGGCTTAGTCATCTTTTTAGAAAGTTGGTATATACCATATGTAGTCTAATTTTAAGCTCAGACACCTTTATTTGGACTATTGCAGCCTAAAACAGTTGCTACCTAAATTACTACTATATCATGTTTCACAGCTTATAGCAATTACTCACATATCAAGCTTCAAACCTGGGCTAATGCCTCGAAACAGCAAGCCGAGCTGATGGCAAAACTTAGCCAAAGTTTTTGGAAAGGGCCCAGACTAGAGCTGCAGCTCTGGTGCCCAGTTTAAATGATTGGCCTTCAACAGTGCCAGCTCCTGTATATTTGGATTTGGATCCCTCAAACCATATTTCATCATGTACCGTGTCATCTATAGATCATCTCTCATCTCATTTTCATGTTTTTGTAACAATATCAGAAATGAATAAGTTTCTACGCACACCCACTATAATTGACTCCAGTGCCACCAGTTTCTACATGAAAAATTTGCACAAGAAAATAACATTTATAAACGACCTCTTAAATGACAAATTAGACTCCAAAACATTGAAGGATCAACTAACAGTGCTAGTGCTATCACGCACTATGCTAAACTCAAAGTTAAGATCAGATCACAAGCTCCAGAAGAATATGACTTCTTCATCACCAACATCAGTTCTGAGAACATTATTCTTAGGCTACCTTGGTTGAAGAAAGTTAACCCCACGATAGACTGGGAGACAGGCAAAATGACACTTTCTGACAGCTCAGA